CCTCAGAGACCTCAGAATTAATAATCGTCAAGTACGCTTTAGGTGTTCGTTATGTATTCATGAAATCCACTTCAGGCAACCTCGTCTATGATATTCATGACCTTGTCGTCGCTGGGGTCGTAAAGCAGAATAATGGACAGTGAGCAACATTCAAGGACTGAACCGGGAAAGACGGACTTCGATTGTCGATCGGCTGTTAATGCCATGTCTCTCCCTCTTTCCGCTGCTTATGATCAGTCCTTTTCTCTCTGCATGGATGCCACGTGCAGCATCGAACTGCATAGGGCGCCCGAATGCCGCTCAGTCGTTAGTCAAGGCATTGCCCATGCGTCTGTGCAGTCCGTTGCCGTTCCGTCGTTGAACGTTACCGATCACACGCAAGAAACAACGACCCTGTTGGTGGACAGTCTACCTGAACCTGAGTCTAAGCCTCAGCCTTGCGACGACGATGTCTGCACAGTTGGCCAACCCACACAGCCCTCTTCACATTCGGAATTATCGGAGTTTAACGACGACACGAGACCGCTATCGTCGCCTACTACCGTTCCTGCCCCAGCTTGTGTTGTTCCTGAGCCCTCACCGTCGTCGCGCGTTGCACGGCCGCCTTCGCCGCTTTCAATCGTAAGTTGCATTAGTTTCTTCCAAGCACACGTTCTGTTATACTTCTGGTTTAATTGGCTTAGATTTAAATGTTTTCATTGTACTCTGTTACTGTTACGACGTTGTACTTTAAAGATATTACAGAGTACAAGTTGTTCGATTAGAAAGTTAGTCTTTTTCTAGGATCACAAACAACCAGACACTGACGTGTTTCTTTGTCATATCTGAAGAAGACTGTTTTGTCGAAATACTCTAACACTTAAGCAGTTACCCACTTAACGATTACAAGCATCATTTATGGTAATACGTCATGAATTATTTTCCGGTTGCTCTTTGCCAATGTAATAATACAAAATTATGCGACGCTTCACTAGCATCTGCTTAACATTACGGAATTGCCGATTGAGTCTCAAAAATCTAGACAAATGAGTTTTTTGCCGGTTATAGACTCTCGCGAGATTTTCGACCGATCAGACCAACGTCCACATGTGGGACAATTTCTTGACTTGATTGTTTGGAACTATTTTCACGTCATTATATGCGTAAAGCATCATTTATCTTCTGTTACCATTAACCCGTTATCTCAGTTAAATCTTGCTGGAATCCTATAAAAGACTTTGGTAAGATTATTTTGCTGCCCCCTGGGTCCGCTGAAATTGCTTAAGCACATTGATATTTAAGCAGTTCTTTAAATTAATAGACATTTCATCTGTTCGTTAAAATCGCAATAAATTGCGTGACATTTTGATGCCATTTTTAATATGTTCGCGAATAAATTTAGACTCATGATGTGAAATGGATTACATTCAACAACGCCCAAGTGCCGATCGTGACGCAAAACCTGAACGGTCCTTGCCCTCTTATTTCCGTCGTGAACCTTCTAGCCCTTCGGAGTCAGATCGCTTTTCCAGCCGATACCAAAACTGTCAACGAGTCTCAGCTGCTCGAGATCGTTGGCGATTGTATTATTCAATCCACACCAAAGGTGTTTTTTCTGTTTTTTATGTATCTTGTGAAAAATGCGATTCAAGTAAAAATATGGTAAATTCTGATTTTTTTCAGATTGATGATCAGAGCTTCAGTATTAATAAAAATATTCTAATAGCTGAACGAATACTGAACTCGCAGAAACGAAACTTGACTGTCGATAATCGATTTTAGTGTATTATTTTTTGGTATAATAGCGTATTGTTTCCACCTACATAATATATTAGCCTTGATTGCATTTTAAAATTTTTTCACATTTTTAGACGCAGTATTGCAAAATCCTTAGAGATTGCCAATTTTAGCAAATTCATGTTTCTTACACATCAGCGGAATGTAAACTATCCATCTTTTCAATAAAAAGGGCTTTATTGAATTGCTTCTGTAAGCTACTTTTTGAACAGTTGTTTCATTGAAGGTTTAAATAAGTCTGTAATCAAAATTCCGGCTTACGCAATATCGGAAAAAGTATAAGTAGAAAAATGATATCACTCCTAAGCCATGATTGACTGTTTCTTTTTTAATTCTGTTCTTTTTTGAAAAGCTCTCATGGTTATTCACCTGTTATAGTTAATGAATCAAAGTTTTGCATCTTTTCTTTGCATTTTGCTATTTTTCAATTTAATTTAGCGTTACTGTAGCCAGCCTACTTATCATTGTTGCAGGAACTGGCACAGCGACCTGACTATCAAAAGAACATGAACGATGCGTTATCCGTTCTTCCAAACTTGATCACTGGATTAGACGTTAACGTGAAATTTACCGGGTAAGGTTGATTTCTTCTGTTTTTAGCAGGTTTAGGTAAGCATGCACGTCGGGAATATGTTAATTAGCATGTAACTCTTCCAAGACGACATCACAGAGATAACGGCATTTATACTGCAAGTACTATTATGCCATGGAATTACAGACAGTTACTGATTATGTAGGAGCAACGGAACGATGTCACGTGCCTGGAAGTTCGGTTAAGAAGAACTATTCGCTATTTCGGCCCTTTTATTTTATTTGGACCAGAAGTATCAGTAATGGTCTTGGATTTTGTCATGGACATCGTCTGACATTATTACCGATACTGTCTTATTCTTTGGCAGGCTTAAAGCCTTGAGTGGAAGAACGCCTACGGTGGGATCAAATTTGAATTGAGTTAATTAAATAACGAGGGACTGGGAAATGGCAAAATTTACTTCTCGAGAAGATTCCCAGCGTAACGGAAAGATACCTCTCTTTAAACTGGGGTATGCAGCTAAGTGCTGCAGCTATCATGGTATCACACTACTATGAGATATGAAGAAATCTGTTCTCTTCGATAGGCATGAAAAGACTGTGAGAATTTCTGGCAGAACCATGCGTCGAAGTTGAACAGAAATTTTCGTGACTGGTGCCAACAGCAGCGAAATTCACATTGTTCATTGTGTTAAACAAAACTTGTCTTTTCACAAGTGAAGTTTACTGGCGCATACAGAACTTTTCTACTTTTCACTGTTTTGTGTGATCTCGTTTATGAATTTTGGGTTTTTAGCATATTTGATTTTGAATATACGCCGGAATGCATCATCTTTGATCTGCTGAATATCCGTCTTTGCCATGGTTGGCTCGTTGATCCAGAAGACGTGCTTGCTTGTCAGGCGATCAACTCCCTGAGTTACAATCAGTTAGTCGAGAAAATCATTGCTGGTAAAACAAGTGCTGACCTGCACGAAACTTCGGAAGGTAAGCCAGCGAGTCTTGAATGTTTGTTGCTAACATGTTTCTTTGTTGTTCAATTTTAAGCGTTGATCGCCAATGACTTTTTGGAACAGAACGCTAGTCAGCTGACCTACCACGGCATCTTGGAGTTGAATAAAAACATACAGGAGGGTGAGTTCATCGCTTTCTTCAGAAACAACCATTTTTCCACCATGCTGAAGCATCGGGTAATTTCTGCTGCTATTTTTTCAGATGATCTTATATTAGCAAAGGGCTGGGTGATTTCAGGGAGAACTTTTCATTTTGGTAAGTGATCAAGGGTTTTTAAAAGAAGTTGACATCGTCTGGGAGACATTGAATAATGTAGAAGGCGACAGTCGCTTTGTCGACTCGCGATTTCAGACGGTGACAAGGAAGACAGGCGATAGTGGAGGCGAACTGGCTTCCGTGACTGACATCGACAGGCAGGTCGACACAGAGTAAGTGACTGAAATCGTTTGGCTATTTTTAGTTCTTTGTTTCGTTAGCAGGCAAATGTGCTACCTATAAAATTTTTTCCCGATAACATTGACTGTTTTATACTGAAGGCTAGGTTAATGATTCGACTAAACAGGTGGCAGATTTCTACCTACCTTCATGAAAAGGAATCCTTTTAAACTGTGTTCAAGCGCGATACGGTAGGTGCGCGTATCTTCTGCGTAATCAGATGAGCTAAGAACCGCCCATATGTAAACAGTATCAGTTGTAAACAGTGAAACACCACGGATACCGCGTTGTGTGTACTCTGATCATGGCGGAAAAGAACCTCAACTTCATTACTACAGACGCAGAGGAGTTGCTCTCGGAACTGAAATAGCAATTACAATGAAAATCGCCCATTTCATGCAAAAGACAAGGAACTTTGACTGAAAAAGAACGATTTCTCTACGCGTAAAACCTGTCTTTCATATGCATGGCATACCTGCAAGGGTCGTATGGTGCTTCGGATTTTTTTATATGAATGGACTTTATATTAGATATATCTTGAATTAGCAAGTTTCGACTCGAACCCCACATTTATTTATTCTTGGTTAATTAGTCTGAGCAGACTGTGTGCCAGAATATCACGACATTAGTTGTTTTAGACAAACGCTCCAACTGCGGGCCCATCAGCCGTGTATATTCTAGCTTCTGGTGCACAGGTCCAAAGGCCACACATAGACGTTTCAGTCAGAGCTTTCAGGTTTTCTGCAGGAAACGTCAGGGGTTATTCCTTAGCCTTACTTGGCACGATTCTGTTTTAAGCACAATTGCAGTCGAGCTCATGTTTCGTCAGTAAGATAATCGACCGTCGAAACATACGGCGAGATCGTAGTCTAGCAGCTACAATGAGCTTGTGGTGCTGTATGCACTTGAAACGGAGTCTTGTTGCTTCGTCCTGACGGCTACTAAGAAGCAGGCCACGAATACACTGATGGGCAGGTACTGCATAACATCATTAAGATAAACGTTATTCAAGGCCACGATGAATCTTTTCTTAATTCTCGCTGTTCTTTATTGTTAGTCATCATATACTTGCGTAAGTAACTAAATGTGCTGCACGCTTGATCGCAGCTTCAATTTAGCTACATGATTGCCTTGGCGCTACAGGAGGAGTGCAGCACCGAGCAGTCGGACTTGAAGTTGGCCATGAAGCTTCAGAAGGAAGAGGACGAAGCCGCCATAGCCAGGTCGAAAGAAGGTTCAGACCTGCAGCTGCGGCATCAACAGACCAATCGCAACGGCAACCCGAAACGGTCAAGCCCCAGTTCAAAAGTAATGCGCAGTTTTCTATCAAGCGGTTTCATCACTAATCTAAGAAGGGTCAAATAGTATGTTTAACATTGGGAGCGATTCGGCTATCTTATTCTTAAAAAAATTGTTTGCATCCAGTATTGCGGATATTCTGGGTCAGAATTCTCTTTCTAGTAGCTGCCGATGCTGTCCATGAAAAAACCAGTTGATTCAGCGGTTATACTGAGGACCATAGTAAGATGCGGATAAGTTAAATATAAAAGTATTTAAATTTAAAATCGCTTTCATGACAAATATGTTTGCGGGAGAAGAAAGTTTGGATGAAAAAATAAAGATTCTAGTTCATTTCATTCTTAATTTTTTATGGATAGACGCTGTCCATGAAAAAATATTTTATGAAGTGTCGCTGTTTTTGTCAACATACGGATATGTTAATTAAATTAGTCCATAATCAGCCGATTCATGTTTTCTTGAATTTTTTGCTTTTTCTCGATAGGCGCTCGTTCGATGATAAATATGAAACATTTTTATTACTAATCAAACTTTTCTGACTGGCATTTGTTATGTGTTGA